TTTTCTAATTTAAAAGAAAAATAATGAAATTCACAAAATCAGACTCACAAAACACTCAAACCTAACCACGAAATTAAATAGATATTTTTAAAAACAAAAGTACTTAATTTCAACAACAAAATGTCCATATTTAACTAAAGTACTCATAGATCTAATTTTGTAATAATTTCCCCAACTAATTAAGCTACCTACTTTATATAAAGTTCCGCTTTTTAATTTGTTTTTTTATTTACCAAAATCCCAAATAATTGTTTTTTTTTTTTACTTTACAAGCATACACTAATCATATCATGAGACTGCATGTTTCAAGCAATCAACCATTATTCATGAAATTAAGAAACAAAATGATGTCTGCTTTATGAACTAAATGATGTATTTAAATCTTAATCTTAATTATAAATGAATTTTAAGAAATTGGTATTTAAATAATTAGTCATACAAATAAGGCCCGTTATCTAACTAGCCTATTCATTTTGAAAGGAAAAGAAAAGATGAATGACAATACGTGAACCTTCAAGTAGGGATGAAGTGTAACTAACCAATAAGATGTTAGGAATCACATACCTCCACAATAGTGCGATGTTGTCCACTTTGAGCATAAGCTCTCGTAGTTTTACTTTTGGTTTTCTTAAAAGGCTTCGTACCAAATAGATGTATTCCTTACCTATACATCTATTATCAACCTCTTAATTAGCTAATGTGGTACTCCTCTCCAACAACTTTCAACACAAGATGCAAGTGGATGATGACAAAATATGCAAATAACTCATGTTAGTAAGTAGAAACTATCTTCGCCCCTAAAAAGCGACTTTGAAAATTTTCTTAGAAAGTAAGTAGGTAAGTAGAAAATATACAAAAATAATCCCAAAAGAAATGCAAGTCAAGTACACAAGGGATCAGTTACACAAGGTAGACATGAAAGAAAAATGTTATTATATCATATTAAACTTTAAGATGAATCATAGTTGTTCTATTTGAAGCCCGAGATCTCAAAATAAAGCAAAAATGATGAGTTTGCTATTAGTTAGTTGCATGTTGACAAGTTTATTTGGCTAATCTTGAAAAAAAATTACAAGCAAGATCATGATACTCCGAGCATAACATGTCGAGCTAAGGTGTTCATCATAGCAATTCAGAGAGTAAACTGAATGACTAAACTTGTTCAATGATTCAACAAGGCCGCAAGGAGTATTTAAAGGCAATAAGTCACACAGGATGTCATATGAATAATTTAAGATTATGAGAGATTAAATACATATAAACTCAGAACAAAATTTAGAGATGACCATAATTTTGCAATTCTAGTATTATAATCATTATTGTTGCATCATGTCTCAATCTCAGTCTATGGGAATTCCAAGTGGTTTTAGTGAGGGCCCAGAGGATGAAGTGAACAACTACACATTTCTCTAAGTTATCATGTCAAAACAAACTTGTAAACAATTAAAAACTACCAGTTTTAAGCTCACCGTTAGCTGATATTGTCTTTTTTGGACTTTCCTTTTCAGACTTTCCCTCAAGATTTTTAAAATCTGTTTGCTAAGGAGAGGTTTCCACACCCTTATAAAAATTGCTTAGTTCTCCTCCCCAACCGACGTGGGATCTCACAATCCACCCCCTTCAGAGTCCAACGTCTTCGCTGGTACTGGTTCCTCTCTCCAATCAACATGAAATCTCACACACCATATGTCTAACTCTACCAGCATTAATCTTGTGCATTGGGGGCACTACCCCCACTAATTTGGGGGGCACCTACGCCTGCCCCAAGGAAGGACATGAGAGACATCAAGGATGTGTTTTTCTTATTATTCTTTACTAGAAGGGGGTCTTTTTTCTTCTTATCACAAGAACGTTCAAACATGCAACTTCTGGATAGGTCTTCTGGGCAGGTGTTACTCAGGGACCTCTGCCAACGAGGTTGTGTCCCTTAGGGACCAATCTAGCGCGAGATTCTGATAACTCAAAAATTTTAAACAATGCAGTAGATTTCAATATATTTCCTGATACCTCTGTCCAAAGTTTTGAGGACTAAGAAGTTTACAACAAATTGAGATCTTAAAAGTGTAGACAGGAGGAAGATTAAGAACAAATACCTTATTCGGCAGATTGTGCCCAAATGATAGTGGACCTTGGTAATGCATTTATAGGATTGATGCATTTCTTAAGAAGGGGAGCATCCCGAGGCAAAAGATCTCGCATATCATCAGAGGCAAGGATGACAGTTGACAGCCCTCACCATAAAGAACTTGAAGTGAAATTCATAGTGAATTCCGTTCTTCTATATCATTCCTGTTTAAAGCCTCAATAGCAGGAATTACGGTATGTTCCACAGTTTGCTTTACTCAGATCCCACGTTATTTGGGGAGGAGAACTAAGCATTTCTTACAACGGTATGGAAACTGTATTTTAAAAATCTTGAGGAGAAGTCCGAAAGAGAACCTTAAAGAAGACAATATCTGCTAGCGGTGGGTTGAAAGAAAACCTTAAAGAGGACAATATCTGCTAGCGGTGAGTTTGGATTATGTGGTATTAGAGCTAGACACCGGGCAGTTTGCCAGCGAGGACGTTTGAGCCCCAAGAGGGTAGACACCGGGTAGTGTGCCAACGAAAACGCTGAGCCCCGAAAGGGTGAATTGTGAGATCCCACATTGATTGGAGAGAGGAATGAGTGCCAGCAAAGACGCTAGCCCTCTAAGGGGGTGGATTGTGAGATCTCATATCGATTGAGGAGAGCAACGAGTGCCAGCAAGGACACTAGGCCCCGAAGGAGGGTGGATTGTGAGATCCCACATCGATTGAAGAGAGAGAGGAACAACATCGATTGGAGAGGGAAATGAGTGCGACGTTGGGCCCCGAAGGTGTGGATTATGAGATCCCACATTGGTTGGAGAGGACAATATTAGTTGGGAAGGAAAACTCAAATAATCTTTCAGGTACAAGATCTGTCCTCTGAAAGATTATTTGGGTTTTCTATGAAGTTCAAAAACAATGACGAGATGCCTACTTCATTCTGCAGTTTCTCCTTGTGAACTCCCAGTTTCAAGTGGCTTCAACCTAGCTTCCTTCAGCTGTCTAGCAACACAATCAGGCATGTGAAGGAAGGTAACAGGACACCCTCTTGAAACATCTTCATACCATAAATGAGATACATAACAAGGCATAACAAAGTCTTCAAAGTCTCCACTACAGCTCCAGAGTCCAGGCTATCCTCACTCATGCAGCTGTAAACTGGGTGAGAACTTTTATCAAACACTTAGAGCTCATTACTAAAAGTTGGGTCACAGCAAAGAACAGAAGGAAGGTCAGATTCTCCATCTTTAGTATAACATTTAAGTAATTATCCCAATAAGTTTAGAGTAGATCAATTCACAGAACACCTTCCTAATATCCAGCAAGTAGTTGAAGGCCGTAAATGCATACACAACAATAACATACAATGAAATGTGAATCTCCGAATGAAACCGTGTCCATATAATTCGCAGTAACATGCCGAAGAATAAGAAATTTGGGCGAGAATTAAGAAGTGAAATGAGTAAGGACAAAGTGAACAGTTACAATTTAGAAGATCCAATTGGGGCGAGTTGGAAATGAATCCCCCTCCGAATGCCCTTCTATTCGGCATGGTTGATGGCGTGATCTGGTTTGGTTTTTTCCTCCTCCTTTTTCTCGTGAATAATGCATGTAACACGCTAGATGAGGTATCAATTTGGCCAAAACTACACATTCAAGGGCATAAAACCACAAATTCTTTGTCCTTCCTCTCTTACTTTCTCACCAGACTTCGTGTACATTTGCCCCCACCATTCTAGTTATATATATATGTATATAAAGAAAAAAATGACATTTGATACAATTTGCTAGTAGATGACGATTTTGACCCATACATGAAAATTACTTTTTTTTTTTTTAACAAATAAACTAATTACGATGAAATTTGACGTTATGATGATGGGGGAGGGGACAATTATATTTATATATAATTACAAATGGGTGATGTGGGGTTGGACTGTATAATTAAATAATATTTGTAATAGCACGAGTCTATTGCTCATAGATATGATTTTATTGCTCTTTGACTTCGATCAGTACGAAATTCACAAATGAGTTGCCATGTTTGAAAACCAAACTTTTATATATATATAAAAAAAAAAAAAAAAATTAATGAAGAAAATGCAAAAATTAAGACAAAAAAAAAAAAAAAGGCGCACATGTAATGGGGGACCAAGTATAGTGGGTGTTTATGTAATAAGGCTCCCCACACCTTCAATAACCACTCCACTCTTCCAATTATTGGATATTATTAACCTTTATAACTTTCCCCAACCTTATTTTCAAGCAATTCTTTTTATGGTCAGCACTAGTCGACGATGAAACCTAACAAATTAATCTAATCTCAATTATTTTAATTAACTAAACCTTATTATATACATCACATGAAAGTTTAACCCAAGCTTTTTTTTTCAATATCATTCCTTTAAAGCTGCAATACCAACCCCCAGACTCTTATTTTCTGGTGGTCAAAATATTTGTATTTTATTTTCTCTATTATTTAATTCTAAAAAAGGAAATTGCACCGATTGTTCTAGATATTCTAGATAAATAGGGATTTTTTTTAATTAATTAATATGTGTTCATTCCTTTCATATTTCACATTTTTATATTAAACTTTCCTAATGAATTTTATAATTTTTTTTAGTTTAGAAAATATTAAAAAAATGTAAAAAGTTTATAAAGTAATTATAGAAGGATAAACTGAAAATAAGGCTAAATAATGGGAAAACAAAATCAAATTGGTATTTGGATTATTTTGTAAATTAAAAAAGATAATTGAAATTTGTAGTACCAAATCCATATTAATTTGTAACGGAAAATAAAAGTGGAAGATAATCGACATGGATGTTGACTAAGTCGTCATTATGTGACTTTTTCTTTCTATATTAAATTATTATTTTTTTATTTCTCTCTCTCTCCTCCTATTTATGATAGAGAAACCTTGCAGGGCAAAAAGGAGAAACCAAAAATATAAACACACACAAAACTTCTCCGTTAGTTTTCGAGAGAGAGAAAAGAAGCTTTTGGCTATGGAGGGTTTGCAGAGATCTGCTGTTTCTTTTCGAAGACAAGGCTCATCGGGATTGGTCTGGGACGACCGGTTTTTATCCGGCGAATTGAAGCAAACCGCCGCCGCGTCGGAGAAAGAATCGGAAGAGAATCCGGAGGCAAAATCGACTACACCGGCGGTGACACTGGAGCCGATCAATACGACGATCGAGAGGAGCCGATCCAACGGCGGCCGTGGGTACCGAACCGGGAAAGTATCTCCGGCAATCGAGCCGCCGTCGCCAAAGGTCTCTGCCTGTGGATTCTGCAGCGCCTTTGGGAAGCCGGCGAAGAAGGCTCGCCGGACGAAAACCGGTAAGCGTAGATCGCGATAAGCTCCGAAATTCTCCGACGAGCGTGGTCTGTGAGAGGAGTGAGTTTTGTCGGAAATAGAAATTAGCTGGAATTTAGGTATTGTGGGGTAATATATTTAAATTTTAAAAACTTGTTCTTGTGCCTTTTTTTTACTTATTTTAGATCTTAGAATCGTAATTGGTGTATAAATTATATAAAACATGTATCATGTATAAATTATCATACCAAAATTTCTCCAATTCGCCTCCTCAATCTCTTCAATTGTTACAATAATTCTCTTTTTTTTTTTTCAAATTTATAATTTATAAGCATTCATAAATTAGGGAGTATGTGACAAAATTTGATCGTTTTGAATGTTTGGATCTTGATAGCGTAATTTTGGTGATCCCAAGGAGATTAACATATGTCACCTCAGCTGTCACATCTAACCTTGTAGCTTCATCTAATATTATTCTCTATGCCCTTTGCTAATAATGTGTATGGTTCTGTAACAATTTTATTTTTATATCTTCACAAAAAAATAATTATGTTAATCTTTTATTTTGAGTGGTTTGGTGGCTTCAAAACTTGATGGTTTTATTAGTTGACTTTTGACATACCTTAATTTCTAAGAATATTAATTTTAGAAGTTCGTTTAAATTATCTCCACAATTTTCACATTTAAATTTTCATAAAATTATTTTTAATTTCATTACCAATAAAATAACCAAAATTTGAGGCATTTTAGTGGAGATCGCTTTGGTTTTTGAAACAAATTGAATAGGGAGGATTGTGGTCCAATTTTGATATGCGGACTGGCCCATTACATATCACCCGCTCCGAAACGAAAACCTCTTACTAATAGACACATTTTAAAATCGTGAGACTAATAGTAATATGTAACGGGTCAAAACGGATAATAATATTTGCTAGCAATGAGTTTGGGCTACTTCGCTCTCTTGTCCAACCGATCTGGGATCTAGAAGATCTATATCTTTAAGCGATTTAAGCGACCGAAGCTATTGAAAAGCTCTTGTTTCCATTTCCCACAACATGCAGAGACATAGATCAATTAGAAAGTAAACTATTCAATTCAACACAACCAAAACTTACTTGAATGTAGTGTAAGCAGTGAAATGAAAGATCAATCTCCTTCTTTCCCTCTTTTCCGTTTCATAATTTATCGATCCATCCACGAACTTGGGGCTAACATCAATCCCGGCGTAGCTAGCAGACTCCGAGCTTGGGGCAACCCTCAGCAAGAGGCAACGTCAAATTTTCAGCTGTTCTGAATGTTCGAGGCACCATCTTGTCGACATAAAGAGTTCCCTCCAAATGATCACATTCGTGCTGTAAGATCCGAGCCTGCCAACCTGAAGCATCCACCTTGATATGATTTCCATATCGATCAAGACCGACTACCTCGACGTCAAGATGGCGCTCCACCACTGCTCTAAATCCATCAACACTACAAGGAAAAAGAATGAAGAAATTAATGATGGATCACAAGGAAGAAGATCCACAAGCAGATGAAGAAATCCTTGAGAAAACAACACCAGTTTCACCAATGATAGTAAAGAATACACTTCAGATTCAACCATGACCGGAAACAATCTATTAAAAGGGACAACTTTGAAAAGAGCAAGAAAGTTGCAGCTTTTATACACTCACATCAACCAGAATGATATTGACAAATAAGCAAGTTGAAACTTGAGAGCATACCATGAAAAAAGAAGCCATAACAATGAAACAACCCAAACAGAATCAAAATGATATTGAAAATTAAAAGATAAAATGTAACGGCTTAAGTCCACCACTAGCAAATATTGTCTACTTTGACTCATTACGTATCGCCGTTAGCTACACGGTTATGGTGAGATTCCACATTGGTTGGAGAGGAGAACGAAGCATTCTTTATAAGGGCGTGGAAACCTCCCCTCGAAGACGCGTTTTAAAAACCTTGAGAGGAAATCCGAAAGGAAAAGCCCAAATAAGACAATATTTGCTAGGTGGACTTAAGCGGGTACATAAAAGCTACAAGATAACCCAAGTATCTGGAACGTCCCCTCTCCGCTCTTGACCACTCTCACTCAAGCCTAAACATCTAAAAGCTTCTCTCCTTTCACCCATTCCCACCCTCTCTATTTACAACAATTCACCCTAATACTTCCCTAAAATATGACCTTAGCTTAATTCTACCTAATATCGATGAGCACTTGTCACAATCGCACTTTTTTTTGCAGCGGATTATGTGATTGTGTAACATTCACTTGCCAACACCAAGTGAGTCAAGCCAATTCGTATCAGCGTCGCTATGATTTGAGGCAATGTATGCTCAAGCCTCTGGCCCCGATTTGAGAAGAAAGTTTGAAAAGAAGGTGAAGAGATCAAAAGCATTGCTACATGACATACAAGCAAAAGACAACACAAGCTGCATATAAGTTTTCGGGGAGGGAGTAATAATTATACAAAAGAGGATTTCTGAGAGAAGAGAGGAGAAAATTGAAAATATGCACCTTACCTTAGGCAACCTTCAAAAAACAGTGCAGTCTTGTTGCTTTTACTTTTTAGCTTTGGGTTTATGATCACCTGACTCAATGGAACTAAGCATTTGTGAAGGGAAAATTGGTGCACATAAAAAACACGGATACAGAATTAATTTGCTTTCTCATGAATACATAACCATACCAGAAGATCAAAAGGTCGCCTATCTTGTGCTTTGATCTCCTCCTTGGGTGCATAACTGATATATTCTTTCGTGTCTTCCAAAACAATTATCTACAGCAAACTCCAAGGTTTTCAGTGACATTTCACAGTTAGCAAAACTCAAGAACACAATGAAGAAATGAAGCACCATTTCAGCTACCAAATCTCACATTTCCATCTCATAGAGCAAAGAGATAATCGGAAAACAGAGTAAGAATTAGAGCCACAAGAAATTTTGACTAACCCTTAATGGAATTCCAATCTGGGTAGCTGCAAGACCCACTCCAGGAGCGTTCCTCATGGCCACAACCATATCGTCGATAATCTTCTGAATCTTATCGGACCCTATTTCCTTCGGATCAACTTCACGAGCGGGTTCGTGCAGAACTGGGTCTCCAGCGTTCACAATCTTGGGTAAACTAGTTTTGTTTTTGTCTCCGAGACCCAGAAACCAACCAGCCTTCGCAATTGGAGAAAAGGACGAACTGTACGATTTCCGGGCCGGAATGAACTTGGGAATGTGATTCGATGAAGAAGTGGGTCCGCAAATGAGATTTCGAAATCTGGGTGTGGCTGAAGAAGGCTTCAGACACCTTTCGGCGAGAGAGAACGGTAAGAGACGAAAGGAGAATCGGTGAACTGTCTCCATTTCGCAGTGCTCCGCCAATGGCGACGGGAGTGTGGTTATGAGCTTAGAGATGGGTCTAATCGTGACGACGGATTGGGCGTCAAAACTTGCTTTTTAATCTTACAAATTCTATTTCCTAAAATGCTTTGAGAACCCCTTTTAAAATCTGTTCTCAAGTTTATTTTTATCCAACTTTCAAATGTTTTTCTCTTAAAATTTTTTATTATTCCTTTTGGACGTTCTTCTAACTAAAATTTTTTATACTAACAGAGGCAAACGAGAATACAATCGTGAACCAGATATGAACACTAAGAAACCCTTGTGAATACCTTTATTAATTTTTGTTATTATCGGATATGAGCAGCAATGAAAGAATGAATAAAAAATATTTCCCCTTATGAATACCTTTTGCATCACAAAATATGGAAAACTCGTGCTGTAATCTCCATTTCCCCTTTACACAGGATAGTTACCAGACAAGAACAGAATCCATGACAAGAGAAACATAGGCGCCCAAGATTCAAAAACATGCTCTTCCAAGAACAGAGATCGCAGGTGAAAAATATAGGATCTAACAAGCATTCACGACACAGAACAGACAGCCACTGTTTCTGCATGTTCTTCAGCTCCATTTATAACTTGAGGTGATGTCTTTCTCTCCCTCCTTGCATTCTGTCTAATGCTGTGGTGATATGGGTTGAGACTCGAGAGATCATCTCCAACCTCTCGAGATGCATGCCAACTAAAGCTTTTGCCAAGTCCTGCAACAATGATCAGTCCATCAACGGCTGCAAGTAACATAAATTGAATCAGAGAAGAACAAGAGGCGGTATCGAGTTCCTTGCTTGAAAACTCAAATACAGCCTCTCACCTTAAGAAACCTTGTTGGACCAACAGAGCAGAAAGAATGAGCCTTCCCCATAGTCCATAGACACGGGTGACAATTAATCGAACGGGAAAACACACCACCAACATGCTACCTTCCCCATGCTCCATAGACATTACGCTCTCCATGTAATCTAAAGGGAGAACAACAAGATGATAGATTTGCACACAGAGAAAGATTCAGAAATCTTCAATCAGACAATGGCTTTCAAGAGGCATAAGGCCAGCAAATTTATAATCCACATAACAGCACAGAAATAGTACACACATACATGTATGAATAAACGAACAGCCCAGGTATGTGTGCCTAATGTGCGTGAGAGGGTGAGACTTGCTCAGTAACTCACAGAGAATATGGTAAATGACGGCGGCTCCATTCAGAACCTCTTCTTCTTCGTAATCGAGACCATATGTTTGAGTCAAGCCTTTAGCTATTAGCTGTACCGACCTTTTCCTCCTTTCTCCCATAAAACTTCCCTTCACCTAGTCCCATTTCCAATTAGTAGAGATCGATATGGATACTCAGGATATTGTGTCTGGAGAGATAGATAGATAGGACTACTAGTTGCTTGATCAGGGCTCTAGTTTTATTTATATTCTATAAAGAAAGAGAGAGCCTCTAAAAGAAAGTTTTTGTCGTCGAGAGAGAAGTCTCTGAAGATATAACCCCATAAAAAATCAGTGTCCAATTAGCTTTGCAATTTACAAATAGAAGTAAAGAAAGAATATGAGCTCCTTTTGAGCTTTCTGTTACTTTTGTCTAGCACCAATCTACAAATCTCTCTTCAGCTATTGACCAGTGTGGTATTCAAAGCTTCCAACTGAGAAGTAGTGAAAGGAGGTACCCTTTTGGTAGCCAATGTGAGTATCAATTGAGCCTTCCCAGGCTGCCCCATCTTCTTGAGGGCTTTAAGTACTGAATGAAGTGTATCAATGTTAGGAAACCAATTCTTGTTCATGGCATCTTTGCACATTGTATATGACAGGTTGAAATCCCCACTTCTGCACAGATAATGAATCATAGTTTGATAGATTTTGACATTTGGTTTATATCCACTCCCATGCAAAGCAGAATAAACCCTTTTAGCCATTTCAAGAAACCCAGCTCTGCAAAAACCTTTCATTACCAGATTGTAAGTAATCTCATCTGGTACAATCCCAATGTTCTTCATCACATTCATCAATTTTTTAGCCTCCCAAGCTCGTCTCCTGTCAACCAAATATTGAATTCTCACATTGAAAGAAGCAAGATTGGGCAAACAACCTCTCAAAACCATTAGATTCCGCAGACCATTACTAATTTCGCATTGATTGACCTTGTAAAAAGCTGAAATTAACGTAGTATATGTAACCACATCTGGTCTTATTCCCAACTTCTCCATCTCTAACATGAGAAGATAAGCTCTATTTAAAATACCCATATCACAAAAACCCTTCACAACAATGTTAACAGAAATAATATCCAACTCGATATTGAATTTTTCAGGAGTTTCTCTTAAAAATGCCTCAAGGGCTCCTATATCACGAGTCTTCATCAAAATCTTAAGAACAGCATTAAATGATTTCACAGTCCTATGGCAGCCATATAAGTGCATATCATAAAAGGTATCTCAACAGCATGCTTGATCATCTCAGCCTTACCATATAACATTATGATTCTTATAATGAATCCTTCACGGCGTCCTTGTGGAAGTGTCTTCTGATGCTCAAGTAAATGTTCAATGTAATCAAAGCGACGAGCCCCAGCCAGCCGAGACACGGTATCTTCAAATGCAAATCGATTCTCAATCACAAGTCGATTGTGCGCATTGGCTTTGAACAGATGGAACAGCTTTTCGGGGTCCCGTTCAGCTTTTAATTTTATGAGGGCAGGTTCTTCGACAGGTTTCGAGGTCTGAACTTGATTCAATATAGCTGCAGAAGTCTCTGCTGATGCAATGACGGTACCAGCATGGAAGAATCTGCGAATGGGTCGCAGAGAGACCATGTTCTAGGCGTCTCCTCAAGAAGAAAAGACATACCCATCCATCAAAATCAAGATCTAAGTCATGTTCTTGAGAAAATAGCCACTGCCCATCAATAACAAACTGGAAAACCCGAGAAGCGGCTGCTAATTCAATAATGAAGAAGTGATTTCTTCCAGAATTCAAATTCACTGAAATAAACTCGAAGAACACTTGGAGAACTAATCCGTGCATAAACAGTGATGCAATAACAGACTGAACAATCCCAAGATTAATGTAAACAAAAAGATTTGTTCAAGAAGAAGAGGAAATGGAGCGAATCAAAGAAAAGAACTGCCGTGGAAAGAATTGAGATTGGTGATGGGAGAACGGAAGAAGTGTGCCGTAAGGGATCCGCGGTCTGAAATTTGTTACGGTCTCTCTCTCTCGTGAGGTTATGGGGTCAATTCGCGCTCGTATATCGAAGAAAATCATTTTCGTTTTGTCAATTTTAATGCAAAAACTAATTAAGTTGACTTTTTTAAAACAAATTTGAAAATTAAGACTAAAAAAACTTTTCAAAATTTGAAATCAACTTTTAATTTTGTATAATTTTGTGTACTAATATTAATTAAACAAGAAACTTTTCACATATATAAAATTTTAATATATGTCACACATATAATATGCATACTTTGTCTACAAAAAAAATAAAAAATAATAACATGGCTCAAACAAAAGATGGGTGGCGTTTTGCTTAAGTCACAACCCGAGTGAGAGGATGAAAAAACCTAATGCCTCCCTCATCGAGAAAACCCATCGACACCCTCCTCTTCTCCTTTTCACGCACCAACCCACTTCATCATCTTCATCCTGACAAATGACAGTATATTGTATATTGTTAGGATCTAACATTCGCGAGCGGGCAAACATCTACATCACCCATTACCTCCACATGATTTTTAGGCATTCCTTTCGACATGATTCCTAGCATCTTCACCACAAACACAATCTAGATGGTTGGGATGCCGATGTGGGTTGGTTGTTTTTCTCGTTCTCACTTTCTCCCCTCGCTTTCATTGGTTCTCTTGTCCTCTCACTCTAGTTGTAACTAAGCAAAACGTTCTCACTCCGAGCCTTCTATTATTTTCATAGCCCCTATTAACCATTAAGCTAACTCATAATGGTTTCATTTGTAACAATCAATGGATCATTCTAGTTCTAGTTTCAATTCTACCAACCAAGTACCCCTTAATAAGAACCAAAATTCAAGCGTTCATAGTTGCAAGACATAAGCTCATCAAATCGATAGCGAGCATACAAGGCGAACCAAGTTTGTGATACAAATGTAGTTCTAGTTTTCCCTGAGAAATGCACAAACATTGATATGCAGAAGAACAGTAAACAAAACCAAGACTAAATGAGGTTAAATGGCTAACATCAGAAAACTTAGGCGTTCAATATAGAAAGGAAAATACTTGTGGAAATCTGTCTGTATACTTAAACTTCGCTACGTCGCTACTTCGCTACTTTGCTTTGGTCTTAGTCCTTTGAAGTTATGACAAGAAGCCCCAAAGCTCCAATCAGAATATACTGCAACAACAAACAGCATAAAGTTATTTTCTACTCTTTTCTTCAGCCAAACATATGCATCATCAAATATGATTGCTTATGGGCAGCAGGGGAAGAATTGCTTCCAATGAAAACCACTATCATTTCAAGCAAATGCAGATGCAAAGATTTTAATCCAATTACGTAAGTGTGCCATTCCGTAGCTAGCCGTCCAGAAAACGTATAATCGGAATCCATGTTCACAAAGTTCTCAAAAAGAATTATGAACTCAACCATATGTGAGCCGGAGATTCAAACATTAATTAGTTGAGGTATGCTCAAATTGGCCACAAAGCTTTCAAAATATAGATTTACGAACCTTAATTATCGGTTTCTCGGTCATAATAATAGTCACCCAACCAACATAAGGTAAAAACCTGAAGAAAACCGCGCAAGCATTAGCCATATTTACTATTTATACACTTCAATGGAAAAAAGAAAATGAGAACCAAACGAGACATTAAACATGATCTTAGTTCGTAGTTCATAGACATCAAACATTAAACAGGAATGTTATGAAACGAGCCCTAAGTTCATAGTTCTTACCCGACTGCTCTTCCCATGATATGATGCCGCTGAAGCCAAAGCTGGCCTTGAGCATATAAAAGCCTATCATCCCCATAGTTATTATCCCCTAAAAGAAAATATGAGAAAGGTGAGTACCGAATACTTTAAGGTAACAGGAGATAGCGAGATTAGTAAACTTTTGATCGAGCATATCTGATAATAGGTCACCTCCATACTTTTACGATATAACAGGACAATGAATATGTGTTCTAAAACGTACAATAAACCATTAGAAGCTACCTTTGGTAAGAACGTCAACTTCTCCCGTATCTGGCCGCTCATGAACCTGAGAAAGCAATTAGATTACAGACAAACATAACCAAAAACTAGATTACTAGGGCCCCATTTGATACCCTGGTTTTTGGAGGGTAATGAAAATGGTGTAACCAGTTCCAAATATATTTAGGAGACGTGATTGGTTCAATCGTTGCTTACCTTAATTACACGATGAACGATTGGAATTTCACGACCCTACAAAGGACAACCAAGAACATAATATTAACAAAGCCACAAAAGTGTAACAATAAGAAAATAAAATATAAGCATATTTGAAAGAAAATTGCAAGTATTAAACCCCTTCAGAGTACACCGCTTACATCGACATTAAAGACAACAATCTCTCCTGCACGGATAGGATCCTTACTCATGTGTAAGAATAAGATGTCCCCCTGAAATGATATGAATGATTAAAATTAGATACTGAAATTGAACTCGAACTGGTATGTTAAAATATTGGTTAATCTTTTCATTTCACCAATTGATGCATATAAACTACAAGTTTCGAATCATAAAACATTATAAACTCGAGAATGCCATGGATTCTTAACAGTGTTATAGAACCAACTAAAGATGATAAGTAGAAATGTATATGAAGGTTGTTCCATAAGCAAACTTGAAAATCCATCACAGCAAAAATCATCTTACCCTCTTAAACCCTGGCTCCATGCTCCCAGAGAGAACAACAACAACGGGCGACTCGCTTCCAGTAATGCACATTAATGCCTTCCATATTATGAGTGCAGATGTTACAATCATGCCTGAAAAAAAATTTCAAAACTGACTCGTTTTCAACCATCACAACATCATAACATCGATGATAGATGTTAACAAGAACATCTTTGATTTGAAAAGTCAGTGAATCTCAAGCAAGAGTGGTCAGTAATCCCATTTATTCCAATAATATCTTCATGGGATAAGCTTGGAATCGGTAAAAAAAGGAAATGGTAACATCGTATTTGTAATTGAAGAGATCAATATCAAGAAATCAACTTCCAGAGCCTAACATAAACCAAAAGTCAGTGAACTTAAAGTAACTATCTAATCTCCCAAAACCTAAGGACTCCTTAAACAAGATCTTTAATGATATGATCGAAAATGAATCGATAACGTTATAATGGAAATGACAATGATTTCCCCCTTTTCTACTCGTTAATAGGGAAAACAGAATTCGAAAACCAAATTGAACCGAACCACAAAACTCTGTTCATTGATATCCAAAATTAGGGTACAAACTAAAACCCTTGACGATCCCATTGTAAATTATGCATAAAAGTTGCAGTGAAACCAGCTGGGTTTGAAGTTCCTATTATCTAAAGATCGACAGCGGCAAAAAGGAGCCGAGATTTCAACTTTCAATCACGACCCAGAATATCGTTTCTCCCTAGAAGAACCGAGATCCGTAGAACAGCTGCAAAAGGCTTGAATATGAGAGAGATAAGAGAGAACGAACCGAGACTGACGGCCTGGGAGAGAACCTGACGAATCTGAAGGGATTTGATGGAATCCATGGTTTCTCCGATCCACCCCATTGCCCTTTTTCTTTGTTCGCGCGAAACTTCCTCCCTGGTTATGCTTTATCTTCAAAATCTCTCCGCCGATCCTCGAGAAGGCAATCCCGAATGAAGGAGCCTCGTTTTCCTGCGGCGTTTAATTCTTGAATTTATATGAATTTAATTTAATATATATGAGAAATAAGAAGAAATGAAATTGGAAATCCTCGTTGGAATTAGAAGTGAATTATTATTATTATTACGAAATAAAAGATAAATCACGCATTTGATTATAAATGGTGGAAGAACCGCCGGTTGCCACATTGGCGGCGCGTTGTGAGAGAAAAATGGAAGAGCCAACACAGTGAGTTGACTCGGCTCTAAATTTTTGTAAACCAAATGGGTATCCCTTTTTAATAGCTAACCTATTAGGCATGAATTGAATTTCGTGTTCAATATTAAACTCTCAATGGTTTGAAGAATTTTTTTTTTTTTTTGTTGGATCGTACCTTTGCAAGCCGACACACAAAGCATTCCTTACATATGTGTAGAAATTTCTCCCTATAGATGTAGGTAACAAGTCAAAGCAGACAATGGGCTTACATTGGAAGATTGTGTGCCAACGAAGACGTTGAGCCAAAACGGACAATAGTAGACTTACATTGGAAGATGTGCTAACGAGGACGTTGAGCCCAATTGTAAGATCTCACATTGGTTGAAGAGAAAAATGAAGCATTCCTCATGTGAATGAAACATTTGTTATAAAAACGTGGAAACCTTGGACTATTACATAGGCGCCTCTTACAAGTGCTTCGATAGGAAAGATTTTTATCTATAGATATCATGGACATTAAACTATGCACGGATTGATGTTGTCCGATTGGTATTCCTTAAAAAATTATAGCTTATGATCCTTACAAAATACAAGAAGTTTCAATTTAATACCAGCAAGAGCTACACCATTGAAGAGAGGGTGGGAAATTAAATCCACAAGAAAAGAAACCTCATTTCCAAAATACAAAAGATGTCATCACTTTATTTTACCCAGACATTTCCAACAAACAGTTCCGGTACACTTCATTTATAGCTCACACTCAGAGCTTCACATTTTCAACTCAATCCTTTTACATTGCTGCAGTAGATCCCACAGCTTGATGATACCCAGAGCAGAAATTAAAACCAAACCATACATCATTCGGGATCATCGCTTTGTAGTTGTACGTAACCGATCTTCTCGAAGAGTAACTATAGATGGTTACTTTGTCCACTACCCATCCGTCGTATCCTCTCCTGTAGAGGTATACGTAGCATATCGGATACGTGCACGGTCCGTTTAAGTCGTATTTGTCTGTAGAGCAGCGCTCGAATGCCCTTGAAGATGGATTGTCAATCCTTGGTATGTATACCTAATCAGTCACATAATGTTTGATGAACAAGTAGGCATTTTGAGAACAATGGAAATGAGGAAGAAAATAACTCTAAAAGAATTAAATCAACTGTTGAAGAACCCAAAAACTAAACTATGCGTCGTGCCCCGAAACTTTCTTATACTACAGGAATGAGAGCACTACTCTCGTTTGTTGTCAACCACATCAGCATCATTTAAAAATGACATAAAGTTGAACGACGTTAAAGCATTAACTTACAAAGCAAAAATTATAGTACGATCAAAGTACTAGTTTAGTCATTTCCTATTTCTGAGTTTTTAGATCAAAGTTCGCTTGATTTTCCAGAAACATTCTAAACCTGCATACAAATCTTGATAACAAAATATGTGTTCATCTCTGTTCTTCCTAAATATTAATGAAACAGCTATTTTGATCCTTTTTAGTCCATTAACTATATCCATAAAAGGGACTAAACTCAACAAAATACCCCAAATCCAACACAAACAACTACGAAAGTAGCACCATCCATTACCTACAACAAACCACAAATCTTTAAAAGCAGAAACATAATTGAGAGTACTACAGACTCATTTCATGGTGATTTCATTTTGAATAAGTAGTGTTTATATGCTTAATTGTCAAAAACTAAATATCAAACACTATAGGCCTAATGTCAACATGTTTTCAAGGAGTATGGGGTTGAGTTAGATGAAATTGGATCACTGTTCATCAGACAATCCCAAGATTTCTAGTGCTCATACTTAACCATAAACACACAATGTTCAACAGAAATCACAAAAGATAATATGGAACAGTACTGATTTTACATTGGGAGTGAAATTCTATTCCAAAATGAGAAAATACCTGATTGCCATAAGCATCCCCAAATGCAATACTGATCTGGTCTCGAGTATAAACAGGTGATGCACAGCTTGTTTTAATCGTCACCGTGTACGAACAGCTCCTAGCATTCTATACAAACACAAAACAACAACAACAAGAAAAGGGTTCACGAGTCTTAAGTCTAAAATTACTCCAATAGCTCAAAAACCCACATCGATTATTCATCACCAGAGCAGAAAATCAAACCACACACTGCAAATTTCTACGAAACGAACAAATGGGTGATTCTAATTTGAGCGGTTTAACACATTCATGATGGTTTTTCCCCCAATTTTTCTGGGGGAAAAAATGGCGCGGTCTCGATCGTAAGAACAATTGGGGTTAAAACAAATCGCAATTGCTCACCTGGGTATTGTTGATCTTGAAGGATTGATGAGGCTGTGGCTGAGACTGTGGGTGGGGAAGGATGGATCGAGAAGATTCTGAGAAGCCGAAGAGGACCAGGAGGAAATAGAGGGAAATGGTTGCTTTCTTGAAGGATTCCATGGCCTCTTATGCTCTGCTCTGCACTGCGTTTATTGAAGGGCTCTTAAATATAAAGCCACGCGAACTCCCAACTGCCACGAGAATCACCCGAGAGTTGGAGACATTTTTCTAATAGATCTCTTCCTTTTTCCCCTTTCCCCTTTTTGTTTTTCCTAAATAAAAATTAGCTTTAGTAGGGCTAAATTAATAAAAATAGCTCTAAAATTAGTATTTTGTCTAAAAATATCTTTAAATTTTTAAAATTTTTAATAATATTTTTAAATTTAAAGATAAAAGAATTTAAAAAATACATTTATTATAAGTTTACAGTTTAGGCCTTAACATTATATTTGTAATGATATTTCAAAAATACTCTTAAACTTTAAAAAGTTTAATGAATATTCTAAGGGTATTTTTAGACTTTTTTAAGTTTAAAATTTAAAGATTTTTTATTAAAAATTTAAAGTTTTTTTTTTTTTTTTGATGGCCCAAACCTGAAGTACAACTCCTCAACCTCAGCCAACAAGCATTGGACGACGTTGAATCCTCTCATTTGTTCTTGAATTTTTAGTGAGAAGCAAGACATTGGCACCCTCGAGAGCAGCATTGGTGTTTTGACCCACACAACGTCAGATCGAGCCAGCAGTCTTTGTCAGTAAGACCTTCAACCTCGACGTTTCCTTTCTCTTACTTCCATTGTTCTGCAAATCATCTGGTTTTAGGTGTTTACCTTTGTTTGCGATCATGTTGGCGTCGTGTCGTTTTCCTTTCATCTCTCGCTACCACTTGTTTAAGCCCACCGATAAGCCTCAGTGTGCTTTAATCCATTAAGAACTCGGTTTAAGGTGAAGGCCACAAGGCAATATTCGTTATATACAAGTATTATAGCCCCCAAGTACAAAGTTCGGGTATTCATGTTTGTATGCACAAGCGTGTAAAGTACAAAGGATAGGGGTAGATCATGAAAATCAACGTGACAACGTGTGAATAAACAATTGTACACTAATTACACGTGGAGGGAAATGATTTGATGAAAGAAAAGGATCTTTGAAAAGTGACATACGGTGGGCCATCCCTAACCTTATCATTAGATCATGTTGATTTCCCGCCTTTTCATCTGGACCGTTGGATGCTCCACAAAATTGTCGGTAACCTCTATCGCTTGCCACGTTCTTTGGTGGCTAGCCAATCATGCCGGGTGAGATATTTTATGGAAAAAAAAAAAAAAAAAAAAAATCCGTTTGTGATTAAAATTAATAATAATTTCATCTAAATTATATATTAAAAAAAAGTTGACATGATATATCTTAGAAAAGTTGATGAATTGACTTCAAAAAAATAATTTTCCATGCAAGAATATTATTAAGTATATTTCAAGAGATTTAAAAAAAAAAAATTAAAATTTAAAAAAATTTAACAAACCAATATTCATGGGTTAATTTAATTTAATTTAATTTACTTGTTTATTGTTTTAAAACGTCATTAAATGTCATCAATCTAAGTCATAGAGGAAATTAAAATTTGCTTGGACCATACTCCATATCTAGAGCCTTGTCACTTGGGCAATTCTAACCAATGTTTTATATTTCATTATTATTATTCACAATAAGGAAATTAATGCTTTTCAAAACTAAATCAATCATTTATATAATTTTATTCCATCTTTAACCCTCCCCAAAGATATTACGAGGAAAAAAAATATATATTGTCCAACCCACACTCCAACCAACTACTTTATAAAAAAAATTATATATATAAATCTCTGACTACAATAATGTTATATTACAAAGAGAATAATTAAAGTAACAATTATTAAATTAAAAGTTTGTATTTAAAATAAAATTCGGTTTCATAAATGTAAGCATAAAAGAAAACTACACAAATAATGTCGATTTCATTTATTAAAAAAAAAAAAAAAACTATATTTTACTTTAGTGAATCAATAATATTTTACTCAACTTTATATTTTTTTAAAATGCTTGCAATCATTCCATTTATGCATAAAACTCCTTCCATTTTCGTTTCCCCTCTGCTTCTTCTTCGCTGAAGCTGAAGAAAAAATCTGCAGAAACAGTACTGAAAGCTTCGAGAAAGGTATTTCCATGCCTCTGCTGCTCTTCAACTTTGTTTCCATTTACTTCTTCTTCTTGCTCATGTTTCTTACTAAAGCGTGTGCTATGAGTTCGCTCGACTATTTTACTTTACAATCGCTTCCTGTTCTGTTAAATCTGTGTTGCTGCGATTCGTTCTCCGGTTTTCTTTAGTTTTTTCTCTTCAAATCAATAACTGAATAGGATCGGTTTAGAGGATCTTGCTACTCGACGGAGCTTTGCTATCTGATTAGCAGAATGCGACAGATCTCCGCCTCCTACGGTGGTTAGTCGCCGTCAGATCCGGTGACTCTGAGTGCCGTTTGGGCTGTAGGAGGGGACGGATCTCCGACCTTCGGTAGTCGGAGAGTTGGACGGCCGTCGACGGCTAAAGTACCGTCGAGAGAGTGGAGTCCGTACGCAGGAAATTTGGATATTATTATTTCTCATGTGCGTGTGGTTGTGGCGCCACTTGCTGTTTATCGCGTTCCCTCGTGGGGCTCCGCCAGGTCCATCATCGAAACCCAAAAAGAACGTTTTACCTTCTTTCTTTTTTTTTTTTTTTTTTTTTTTTTTTTTTTTTTTTTTTTTTTTTTTTTTTTTTTTTTTTNTTTTTTTTTTTTTTTGGATAATAAGTAGATTTAAAAAAAACTTTAAAAATGTCCTTTGTAACATTAAAGTTTCAATAATAACGCATCAACTTTCAATAGTTCTAAAAATAACCTCGATCTTTACAAAAATCATTACCATTTAATTTTTTATGTCTGCAAATACTTCATGAAAATTAGCGAGAATAAACAAATTATTAACATTTGAAAGATGGTGGCAACAATTTAATTTAATAAACTTTAAATGTTTAAAATTCATGACCAGAATCCTGAAGTGGGATGAAACATAAATTATTGATGAGACTCACGTACTCTATTATGATGAATAAAAAATTCTGAATTTAGCATTATCGTGTATAACCCTTCCTATTAGTTTCAGATTTACAATGAACGGGCAAATTAAAATATATTTGGTGTTGATTTTGAGGTTAATAAATTTGATTAAGGGACTAATTCAAGAGGATTACGTTAATTTTGTGTGGCAGTTGAGAAATGGCGCACATTCTGCTTCATGGCACCCTTCATGTCACCATTTATGAGGTGGATAAGCTTCACTCCGGTGCTCGCAATTTCTTGAAATCGGTAACTCTCTACTTTATCTTAATTAATTTTTTTTGAGGTGGATAAGCTTCATTCCGGTGGGAGCTAAAAGTTGAGGATTCGTAGTTAGTTTAAATAATTTGAGTTTCAAATTTTGGGTGTGCAGTTGGTTGAAAACGTAGAGGAAGCTGTGGGGTTTGGCAGAGGAGTAACGAGGCTCTACGCCACCATTGATTTAGAGAAGGCCAGAGTTGGAAGAACAAGAAGACTCGAGAAAGAACATTCAAATCCAAAATGGTACGAAACTTTCCACATCTACTGTGCTCACATGGCTTCCAACATCATCTTCACTGTCAAAGACGACAATCCCATTGGAGCAACCTTAATCGGCAGAGCATATTTGCCTGTCAAAGAGATCATAAGCGGTGAAGAAGTTGACCAATGGGTTCCTATCTTGGACGAACGCAAGAAGCCCATTCGTGGAGAACCCAAAATTCATGTCAAATTACAATACTTCGATGTCACTAAGGATCAAAACTGGGCTCGTGGCATCAAAAGCTCCAAGTTTCCTGGAGTTCCCTACACTTATTTCTCTCAACGACAAGGTTGTAAGGTAACTTTGTACCAAGATGCTCATGTTCCTGACAACTTTATCCCCAAAATTCCTCTTGCTGGTGGCAAGTTTTATGAGCCAAATAGATGTTGGGAAGATATTTTTGATGCAATTATTAATGCTAAACACATGATTTACATTACTGGTTGGTCTGTTTACACTGAGATTTCTTTGGTGAGAGATAAAAGAAGGCCAAAGCCTGGTGGAGATGTGATGCTTGGTGAATTGCTTAAGAAAAAAGCAAGTGAAGGAGTTAGAGTTCTTTTGCTTGTTTGGAATGATACTACTTCTGTGCCTATCCTGAAGGAGGACGGGCTAATGGCTACTCATGATGAAGATACTGCTAAGTTCTTTGCTAATACTGATGTGCAATGTGTTCTGTGTCCTCGCAATCCTGATGATGGGGCTAATGTTATTCAGGATATTGCCGTTGGGACAATGTTTACTCATCATCAAAAGATTGTTGTTGTGGACAGTGCTTTGCCTAATGGAGATCCAAATCGAAGGAGGATTGTGAGTTTTGTTGGTGGGATTGATCTTTGTGATGGTAGATATGATACTCCATTTCATTCCCTTTTCAGGACGTTGGATTCAGCTCATCATGATGATTTCCATCAGCCAAACTTCACCGGTACTTCCATAAACAAAGGCGGTCCGAGAGAGCCATGGCACGATATCCATTCCCGCCTTGAAGGACCAGTTGCGTGGGATGTTTTGTACAACTTTGAGCAGAGGTGGAGGAAGCAAGGTGGAAAGGATTTGCTTGTGAAATTAAGGGAGTTGGATGCCATCTTCATCCCTCCATCACCTGTCATGTTCCCTGATGACTTTGATAGTTGGAATGCTCAAGTTTTCAGGTCCATCGATGGCGGAGCGGCTTTTGGCTTCCCCGACTCGCCCGAAGAAGCAGCCAAAGCTGGACTTATAAGTGGAAAGGACAACATTATTGATAGAAGCATCCAAGATGCTTACATTAATGCCATTAGAAGAGCAAAGAATTTCATATACATTGAAAATCAGTATTTCCTTGGAAGCTCGTTTGAATGGAGAGGTACTGATGTGAAGCCGGAGATGATCAATGCCCTGCATCTAATCCCAAAGGAACTTTCACTTAAGATTGTGAGTAAGATTGAAGCTCGAGAGCGGTTCACTGTGTACGTCGTCATCCCGATGTGGCCGGAAGGATTCCCAGAGGGGGGAACAGTTCAAGCTATATTAGATTGGCAAAGAAGAACAATGGAGATGATGTACAAAGATATAGCTCTAGCCCTTAGAGTTAATGGCATCGAAGAGGACCCTAGAAACTATCTGACATTCTTTTGTGTAGGCAATCGCGAAGTTAAGAAGCCTGGAGAGTATGAGCCATCAGAATCCCCTGATGAAAATTCAAGTTACCTTAGAGCCCAACAAGCCAGGCGCTTCATGATTTATGTTCATGCCAAGATGATGATCGGTAAGTTTTAACTTTCTCTTAGTTCTAGAAATTCTCTTTCCATACACGTCACCCAAGCCCACAACTGATAGATATGGTCATTTTTCGCCTTTTCCTTCAAGAATTTTAAAACCCGTATGATAGGGAGAAGTTTTCACATCCTTATAAAAAAAATGTTTCGTCCCCTCTCCTACTGAGGTGGGACATGAGTCATTCCCAACGGGTGACGAATTCTTGTCGAAAAATGATGACATAAACTTGTCATTTAACCTTAAAACTTAAAAAATTCAGATACTAATATACACCATAAAATTAAAACTAGCCTTATCTTAGAGGTGGTAGTAAATTTTTGTTGAGAAAGCTAATGGTATTTTGTTTAAAACAGTTGATGATGAATACATAATAGTGGGATCAGCCAACATCAACCAAAGATCAATGGATGGTGCAAGGGACTCAGAGATAGCCATGGGAGCTTACCAGCCATTTCATCTGTCATCAAGAGAGCCAGCAAGAGGCCAAGTCCATGGCTTCCGTATGGCATTATGGTTTGAACATTTAGGATTACTCCACGACTCCTTCCTCTTTCCAGAAAGCATTGAGTGTGTAAGAAAAGTTAACCAACTTGCTGATAAATATTGGGACCTATACTCAAGTGAAACCTTTGAACACGACCTTCCCGGCCACCTGCTTCGCTACCCGATCGGCATCTCCGGTGAAGGTGAAATTACCGAGCTTCCCGGGTTCGAGTTCTTCCCGGATACTAAGGCGCGAGTCCTAGGTAACAAGTCTAATTATCTCCCTCCGATCCTCACTACTTAAAAGTTACCACTTTTCCTAACTGTTATATAAAAGAAGATGCTGGCTTTCCTGTTCTTTCTCTTCAAGTTCTGCCTTTCCTACTCTGTTGTGATGGGAACGCAAGAAATCATCATGTGTTTGTGAAATGGTTTAATGTTTATGAATGTGATTGAAGTTGCTTTCTAATAAAAACTGGGACTTTGTTTGTAAGGGATTAAGGGTTGATTTATGTTATTTAATTTCTTAAAAAAAATTATTTCAATTGGATTTAAAATTTTAAAATTTTGTATATAACAGGTCACATAGATTTTTAATATATACATATAAGATACAAAATTAAAATTTTGACTATAACTTATTCAAGTAAAATAAATGTGTATACGAGTTGGGGTTAAGAAAAAGACTAATGATACAGGTGTCAAATCCACGTGTCAAAAACTGAGTTGGAATCCGTAGTTGCGTTGTCCAGAGTGGGTCCCACCTGGATTTGACTGTTCATCCACTCGGATTCTGAGAACTCTTCTTTGGGGGGGTTTGAATGAAAGTTGACTGCTTACCTCAGCGCCTCACCGGCTGCCACTGCCCAATCACCATCACCAATATTTAATATCTTCTTCCTTGAAATACTATTTATTTTTCAAATTAGTTTATAATATTTTTAATAAACTTTAAAACTTGGATCGAATTTGATTGGATGATAATATAGTAATAAAATCTAAATGGACAATATTTATTGACAACGAGTTTAAATTATTACAAATGGTATCAGAGAGATATTAAAATCAATAATGAGTCTGAAAGAAAAATGAGGGTCGAAGGTAACATGATCCATATAATTAAATCGCTCTCACCCACTTGCTAACTAAAGTTGCTTTCCCAACTCAACTCCACCACCCATTTTTCTTCGATTGGTCAAGATACAAAAGAAGCCCACAAACGAATTCAACTTTCGGCTTCCATTTTCCTCTTTCTTCTGTTCCTTTGTTCCCTCTCCTCCTTCTTTGCCGGCCATGTCTTCCATTCTGAGCTCTCAAGGTCTCGTCATTGCCACTGCCATGGTCGTCTCCTCCACAGCTCTGTTTCTCGCCTTCTCTAAGCACCACAAGATCACTCCAACCTCCTCCAAATCCCTTCTACGTTCTTGCTTATCTTCTGGTAATTTCAATTCCTTTATTCATATTCTTTGTAACGCTTTTCTTACTCCAATCCGAATAAAGAACCTCTTAATTTGATATCATATCGAAGATTTGGGGCTGAAGCTTTGGTGGGTTATTGTAAATTTGAATTTTTTGGCATGTTTTGAACATCTGGGGCTGTAACTTTGGTGGGGTTTTGTGGTTAGATGATAAAAAGAGGGAGAAGAACCAGAACAAGAACAAGAAGAAGGGGAAGAAGGTGAGATTTGCAGAGGATGTGAAGGAGCCAAGAGGAAACGGAGAGGAGTACAGGAAAGAGCACGATGAGAAGGTGGCTATGGCGGAAAGAAGAAGAAGAACAACAACAACGAGGAGCTGCAAAAATCAAACTCCTGCAAATCAACTTGCTTTGTACAATGGAATTCTTAAACAACGATCGCAGAGGATCCAATGTTCATTTTAATCAAAGTCTTTGCCTTTTCTTCTTCTTCTTCGTCTTCTTCTTTCGTTTTTGTTTTTCATTGTTTTCTGTGTTTTCTGTTTCTGGGGATGGAATTAAAGTGATGTTTATATTAATCTACTGACCAATCTCCAAACAGGGGAGGTTCTGTTACTTAATCAAAAGTCAACTAAAAATTCTCCTAAAAAATCTAAAATTTGTCAATAAGAGTAATAAGAGTAGATGAGATGAGTGGATATTATGTTCCATAAATTTTCTTGTATACTTATTTATTTTTTTATTTTTTTGTTAGATGATGGATCGCCTTTTAGTTGTGCTATGGTATGTCTCATTTTTAACTTTTAGGCATGGTCTTATGGGCGACGTTCACTTGTTGTTACTATCCTCGATGACTTACTCAGGATATAGAATCTACATTATTGCGCAATGAATTGTGACACTCTCCCTTATTTAAACTCAGTATCGGATGATGACACAATCATAAGTTAATTGTTAACTCACTCGCCTTATGTAGGACTTGACATTTGAGACTTGCAGTGTAGATACGAAATGGTTGTGAGCTATCCCATATCGGACACTCATACGCTCCAATTGTCAGACTTGGCCCAAAACTCACTAGACAGTCAATGACATCTAGTTCTTAGATATCCTAGTCTTAGCCCGAAAAAGTATGTATCAACTATCTCTTTGGCCACTTAGGCACAACATATATTCTACAAGTGGCACATAACCGTACACCCCTTGAGATGCAGCATTTCCCTTCGACCAACTCTCAACCACGCTCAAAGACGTTGAGTTTGATTTTGTTGCACATTTTTTCTTCTTGTCCTTTAATTTGATCTTAGTTCTTTTTCTAATACACTTAATCTTCACCTTGTAGGAGATTTAAATTTTACCAAAACAAATTATTCCTTTTATAGGTTAAATTAATTTAATCTATGTAATTAAAAAATTAAAAAAGAGGGTTAAATTTTAGTTTAATTATAAAATTTTGTAAATCGTTATAACTTAAAAATAGTTTCTATAATTGGATAAAATAGTGGTAGTAGTTCTAACAATCTTTTTATTTATTTATTTAAGGGTAATTTAACTGTAATAATATTGTACGTTACCGCCATTTCCATCTTCTTCCATTTCTTGCCATAAATAAATAAATAAAATAAAATAAAAATAAAAAACCAGAGAAGAAGAGGGAAGGTAGAAGAAGAAAGGGAAGCGGGCAAGCTGAGCTTGTGAATCCTCGAAGAGGCATTTTCGATTTCAGGAAGCACGAGAGGGGCGACCCGTGATATTGTTCATTCAAGGTCGACCCACCTTTTTCCTCGAAAGTTTCAATTTCTTTCTCTCAATTTTTAATTTTGATCTATGGATTTCTCAAACTTGCTTTTGTTTCTGCCTTTTATCTTTACACCCGTGAATCATTTTCGATTTCAGAAGCGGCTCGGCTCTCTCATCTTTTCTTCCTCGAATCGGATTTGGTGCTTCCTGGATCCGTCTTGGCCTTCTGGGTTTGCTTTTTAGACGTTGCCCTATACTTGGGGTAAGTTCTTTTTCGCTGTTTTGGATTTTGAATTTATTAGTTATTTGATTGATGCAATGTGCGTGGCATTGTTCTGTTCGCGAAATTGGTTATTGGCTGTGTTCGGTTTCTTAAAAGAAATTGTGGCAAAATGAAAGGAGGGATTTAAACTGGTTACCTAGCTGATTTCATCTTAATGATTGAACTATTTCTGCTGCTTTAATATTCATTTGTTTTGTTTCTAATGGACTTAATCTTAGCATTGAAATCCAAAGATCCAATGGCTTAAGGGGGATTCTCTCTAGTGTAATGGACATATGGGAAAATGTGAATAGCTATTGAATGGACATCATAGTGATATCCCTGTCATCCTAAAATAACATCCTCTTTTTCTCATTTTGGTCTTTTGTTTTTCATTGTTCACTATAGTTTTGAAGTATCATGTGGCTGGTTTTCTAATGAGTTTCTTGATGAACTGTAGTTTGTAATAGAGCTTTGGTTGCATTGAAAACTATACAACTCTAAAGTTACGACCTCCGTAGTATATTGATCCAAGGCTTCTTGTAACACACTTTGGAAATCACAAGCACGCGTGGTATGGACAACAGTGCTAACCAGTCACGGGGTGGTGATTCATCATTTAAAACCGAACAATTACAAGAGGATTCTAGTAAAGCTAACGCTCCTGCATTTGTAAATCATGGTAAGTTCTCATTGCTGCTACAATTTCTTGCAACTTCGCTTCATTAACTTGTTGCCATAGCATTAAAGTTGAGAGCAAGGGCTCCAATGCCATTTTCTTAAATGTCAAGTCTCGATCCTGTCTGAGTTGATGCAACACAAACACCAAACAATCATCATGGGCTCGTCTAGTAGTCAATAACGGCAGTGAGAATAATAAGGAGCTTAGAGGGAATAAGTTTAAGTCATGGTGGCCACCTACCTAGAATTTAATTTTCTACAAATTTCCGTGACAACCAAATATAGTAGAATCAGTCCGTTGTCACTTGAAATTAGTCGAAATGCGTGCAAGTAGTCTCAAATACTCAGCAAATATGTATATAAGAAATAAATACTACGACCAATACATAGTTTGTAACTTGTTAGAATCTATTTACAAGCAAACGGTAAAGTAGCTGTACTACAATATAAAAAACAAATAACAAAAGCAAATAGCGTTTTGAGGTGGCTCACTCTCCTACAATGAATTTCTATAGCACTATGTCTAACTCCACACTATAAATTCCTCTATTTGTAATCAATCCCACCCTAACAAAGTACCAAATAATTGCAATTATGTCACTACTAACATTCTCAATGTAACTCTATTAATACTCTTACTCTGATATCATTATTCTATCGCTTTCCATACGAAAAGGTTGCAGCTTAGGAGTTTCTATGTTCAACAGTATTGTCATTTGTTTAGGTGGTGGTTTGACAGTTTTAGTTGTAGGTCTTCTTCTCTGGAATCAAAATAGGCAGCAATGGTTGCAGAACAAAAAGGCCAACCGTAAAGAACAATTGATTCGAGAACCCAAATTGAGGTAAGTTGGTCACTGTTCTTTTCTATAACCAAAATTATTTGTATATCCATAAATGCATCTGGAAAGTTTTGATTTCTATTTATAGTGCTGTAATTAGATTATTGGCAACCCATTTATTCCAGTCCATACTGAAAACAATTTATTAGTTACTTCTAGATACTCCCATTGACAACTTCTAAATTATGCCCATTTTTTAGAAGCATTTATCCGACGTCTAGAAGATCTTTTATTCTATACATTTTATGTATGTTTTCCGAAACATTGTTACGAGTTTCTATGATGCTTTTCTTCTAATGTGGCCATGATTTCACATCCCTACTATGTGTTTGGTGAAGTAGGCCTATTATAAGGTTAATTCTTCTATGGAATTTCTTTTATGGAGTTTGTTTGGTGAACTTTTCCCAAGACTTTTTTTTTCTTGTTTTCTATTTTCAGAAGTGTTTTTAATAATTAGGATTGTATGGAAGGTAAAAGGTCAATGATATTGTTGATATTCTAATCACCATTCTCAAACTAGCAAGTTTCTTTGTTTGGAAAAAAAAGAATTTTTTTTTATAAAGAAGTTCCAAACTAGTCTAGTTCCAAGCATTGACATTTACTTCAATGAAATCATTCATTTCTAAAAAGTCTTGATATTCTATTTCAATACTTCAACATGTTGATACTTATCAAACTGAAGGCTTGCTGGATGATAAGAAACCAGAAAGAAAAATTGGTTATAACACTCTGGTTTCTCTGAATCGGGAGTTGATTATTCTTGAACTTTTGTTTGTTGCATCTTTGTCAGCACTCATTGTCTCTGCATGCCTAAATCCTTCTGGCTTTGCAGTTGGAATGCAACGTACGACAGTTTGTTGGGAAGTAACAAACCATTCCCGCAGCCCATACCGCTTGGTGTAAGTGTCCACTATATCCAACTTATATGCTTCTTCGCTGATCAAGTTTTCTGATTAATCTTGCCTGGTTGATCCAATCTTGAAATCTACAGGAAATGGTCGATTTTCTTGTGGACATATGGGAGCAAGAGGGGCTGTATGATTGAATATCATGGATGGAATGTAAGATATTTGAAGGTTAAGCTAGACTCCGGAAGCTCCCTGAACTGCTGAACTAGAACTATAACATCTACAGGTTCAATTAATTGTTAAGTTGGCAACTTGAGCCAATACCAAAATGTAGCATTCTGCAAAACCAAAACAAAAAAACAAGTATCAATCCATATTATTACTGATCACTGTTCAGCTTGTTGCTCAGGCGTCTTGTGTTCTTCCCTTGGGGTAATTCTTTTTTAATCAAGTTCTTGTCTGAAACTTGAGTTGCTTCGTTCTGTTGAAATGGTGGACTGTGTAGAGAGAGACAAATGTGTTGATTGTTTTCAATATTTTATCCATAATTTGTTTCATTATATATAAAATTTTGCTCCCTTCTATGAAAAACGTTTATCCAACAGCCATATCACTATTAGGATTCAAGTAAAGCAAGATACACAGCACCAACAAAGCGTGCCACTCTATAGTCTTGTCAAAGACAAAATTTGGTTACCGTACATGTACAATCATTTTTCAGAGTACAGAGGACGGTTGGATGCCGTGTGATGAGAGGACAAGAGAGCGTTGACTTTGAACGAGAACCGTTGATGATTCTCAATCAGGTGGTGTCAGTGTTTCTACATCAATCATGTGGTGTTCAGATATGCTCTCTCTTCTTCTTCTTCTACAATTGTAAATGTTGATGTGATGATGCAGAGACAGAGGATCTATGGTTTTGCTTTCTTTTCTCCATGAATATATATATATATTTTTAATTTTATTTTACTGTTTGATTTGCAGAGACTGAAAATGGAGGAACTATTTGTGATTGACGGCCCCCACTTTATTTGATTCCTTCTAGTTTTGAACTCACCAATGCCTTTATGAGTTTAATATTGTCCATGGAAGCTT